GATCCAGAGGTCCAGGGAGACAGGGAAGTCCTCCTCAGCAGTCAAGAGACACCACCCGGAAGTCCCCATCTGGGCAGGGACAGGTGAGGCCAACCGCAGGCAGGGGCCGTGTTCACAGTGAGTCCAGTGGCAGTGAGGAGCACTCACTGTCCTCACAGAGCCACTCAAGATCCACTCAAAGCCATACTGTCTCTCCACATAGAGCCTTTGAATCTGGTCAAACACACTCACGTAATACTCACTCGCATTCAAGGGACAGCATAAAGAAACTTCCAACTCGTATTCACACTCATTCTGAATCTAGGCCTAATCACCTGCAAAATGATGGTAAACCAAAATATCTGTCCAATGAACGTTGGAGACATGGCAGTTATGGGTCAGCAGAATACGACTATGGGCAGTCTGGCTATGGACCTTCTGAGACTAAGCGAACTAGTAGCAGTGTTTCTAGCCCTATGAGATCAGCAGGCAGAGCTATACATACAGAAGTGTCTAGGCATAAACAATCCTTTTTTTCATCTGAGCATGTTAGGTCCAAAACAAGTGAAACAAGACAGCCAAGTGCTTTTCATGGACAGTCAGAAATCCTTCACGCCCCATCAGCTGATTCCTATAGTCTATCTGGATCCAGTATAACTAGAAGGCAAAGCTCTAGTCATGGTCATTCTATCCTACCTGCTGAACAGTCAAGTGACCCTCATGTTCAAAGTGAACATAGCAGAACCAGAAAGCAATCATCTACTCATAGCCAGTCAAATGATGACTCTGATCCTAGCCATAGAGAATACATGTCATTTTTTGGACATTCAGAATCCAGTTCAAGTAGAACACAATCTGGATTCAGCATTAATGAAAGGCAAGTACATAGCCATAGCCCATCAAGAGCCAGTGATGAGCTATCAATTGACAGCAGAAACAGAAATCAAAGATCCATTTCCAATTGCTCTCTTCATGGCCAAGAACCTATGGAAACTGAAGAGTATAGGTATAAATATCTATCAAGTACAGTCACGTGGGGTGGGGAAAGGCAAGGGGAAGTTTTAGGATCTAATCCATCAGAGAGCATCAGCAGATATAGTCAGCAAGTAGTTGATAATCAATCAAGAGGCTCTGAAGCCAGAGTTTACCAGCAGAGCAGGAGAATGGACTCAAATTGCTTCTACAGAGATAGCAACACTCCACTCTATGAATATTTCCAAGAACAAAGGTGCTATCACTTTGAATAAGAAGGCAGTAGAAAGCAAAAGAACCCATGACAAGAACTAACCCAAAGAAGACATGAAACACAGTAAGAAAATAAGATGTGTCATATGATCTCTTTTTTTGGTGGTAGGGGTATATGTCTGTTCTTTTACATTTACTGTATTACTTTACTCTAT